TGCCCAGGAGCAGCAGCGAGGGGCTGGGTGCTGGTCTCCCATTTGGAGAAAGGCCATGGCCAGAGCTGGGCTCTGCCTTTTGATTCCTTTGCTGTTGGATCCATTTTTATTTCAGAGGACCAGATACTCTCTTGATGTATAATAGAAATGCTTACCCCAGGATCAGCCTCTTTGAATTCAGATGTTTGATCAGCAGACAAAGGGGCAGAGAGCAGGGGAAGGAGGCGAGATCGCAGGACCATAAGCATCTTGAGGAAGCCTTGGCATCTTTGTGCTGTTTCCATCGGTGCGGGAAGTCTGGAGATTTTGATTCTGCACATCAAAGTTAAAGGTGAAGGCAAGTAAATGGAGTTTATTCACTTCTCATTTGGGCGGTAAGAGTTTCCTCATTCCTCACCAGGTGCCCAGAGCCCCAAGCAGGGCGATTGCTTACTTTTATTCACCACTGGAGCACTGATCCTGTTTCAAAGGCAGGTTATTTTTTTTTTTCTATTTATTTTTCAATTTAATGTTACACAAAATGGCCGAACGAAGTCCTCTCTTGCCTGTGCCCAGGAGAGGCAACCAGCAGGTACTTAGGGGAGACACAAGCACACGCTTTCCTCGCCCCACAGCTGCGGGACTTTGTCGACGGTTGTGCCCAGACCTCTGCGCTGAAACCCCCTTGGTGGTCCCTCTGAACCTGCCGGGTGTGCATGCCACCCACCCTGGCTGCACCTTGGTGGGCTCCTTGGTGCGTCATGCGGGGTGAGGTGCTGTGCAAACACACCCTCAGGGACGGTCCCCTCCTCCCCCAGGGTCTTCATGCTGAAGGATGGGACAGGGGACTTCAACATGGCCACAAAGCAGAGGGCAGCAGCAAAACCAGCCCCTTTGCTGCCTGTGGTTAAACTCCTCTCCACTTGTCCTGGTTCAGCACAAAACCTCTGTTAGAAAATTTTGGAGATGACTTAAGAGAGACCACTGCAGTTGGCAGGCAGATTTGGGGAGGGCTTTCTAGCAGCTGCTGGGGGGGAGGCAGAAGCATAACCACAAACAACAGGAGACCACAAATCGGACATCGATAGTGCCTACACAGGGGAAGCAAAGTGGCCGAGGGAGGTCACAGCAGGGTGCATGATTTCAAGATGGAGCCTGGGGTCCAGCTGGAGGAAGGCTTCTGAGCTGAGAGGCAAAATGGCATGGCCTTGGTGTTATGGTGATCTCATGATGCCGCACAAAAGTTACCTTTCCTTCCTTTTTATACTTAACTTTTTATTAATAATTTGCAAGGGGGAGGCAGGAAAAGTAAACTATTTCAGCCTACATCTTTGGTGGCCAGGTGCAAAGCTGGACTGTTGAATCTATAAATTCAGGGCTCCTTAGAAGACCCGGTGGCTGCAAGCTGGATGCCCTGCTCATCCCCACACCCAGGCTTGTGCTCACACGTCGGCTTGCACGAAACCAGGAGTGGCACCGTGGCTTCATCTGCAGCGATCCTGAGTGCTGGAAACTCTGACTAATTCCCCAGGGACTTGCGGGCCGCTGACTTAGGAGAGCATTTGCAGTTGGTCAGGCTGGAGAAGTCCAGTCACAGGCAGCAATGTGGCATCTTATTGCTTGATTCATTCATCTTGTTCGATAACCATTATAGAAGGAGAAACATCCTGGAAAGTCGTAACATCTGACAGGCGGAAAGCGGCCAGAAGCCTTGCCAACACCGTTCCTGCTCCCGCTGTGGTTACAATGCAGGGCTGCGGTTACAACACTCATCACGGTTAGAGGGCACGGTCACGGTTTCCTGCTGCGGCTAGTGGGGTCTGCAGCAGACAAGCGGAATCAGCCAGCGTAGCATGAATACTGTGCTCTACCTAGGCTTGCACTGAGCAAACCAACGTAAAGGACACTAGATTTGGATTTAAGAGTGGGGAAAATGGCCCTTTGGAAAGAGGGTTCTGGCTGGAAATGATGGATAAATACTATCCTGTCCCCTCCCTGGGCTGCTGCTGGGTGATTTACGAGCTGTTTTACAGACGCAGACATGCAGTAGCGATTGCCCATTCCTCTCTGCAGTGCAACGCAGGCTGCAGCTGGCAGCAGCTGAAGAGGGGAAAGCGCTGCTGTGCAGTCCCCACGGCTGGGAAGCGACAGGCCTGCTGCTCCTGACCCTGGACAGACCCACGCTGGGGTCCTCCTCCAGGATAACACCCGGCCCAGCAGTCACATCCCAGCCTCTCACGGGCAGTCAGGGCTTGAAAAATTGTATTAATAAGGCAGCTGCAATATTCAAGGGGTCAGAGCTGCAAGGATGCTCTTTTATAAATCAAGTCCATCTACTGACTACATCTGTCCAATCAGTTCCTAGGGAAAAAAAGGCTTTTTGTCTGGAATTAATGTTTCAAGGCTTACTTTATGGTTCCAAGTCAATACGTTTAAATGCTTTGCAAAAGAGCAACAGAAAAGAAAAGCTCTGCAAACTGGTCATGCGTATAAAAAGCCTCATCCTTCAGCAGACTAAAGCCAAGTAATAATCCACTCCACTCTCGCTTAATTTAGGCTCATTTTTAAAACAAAATATGGAAAACCATCAGAATACTTGGAGTGCATTACACAACCCAGTATCTCTGACTGAGCAGGTCACAACCTGCAAACTTTCTGGAGGAACTGTGTGTGGCTGATTTGAATGTCCCCATCCTTCTGCCGCTGCGCGGGACTGTGTGTTGGGACTGC